GGGGGGGCAACAGTGGGAGGGCTTCTAGTGTCCTGGCCCCACTGGTGGACCTCCTGATGGCACCTGGTCTTTTTGGCCACTGTGACAGTGTGTTGAACAATGGGCCACTGGCCTGATCCAACATTGGCTTCTCTTATGTTCTCATGTTCTTATGTTCATTAAACCCTGGTTTGCACTACATCCGAACTGAACCAAATGTCTGTAAACAGCAGAGGTATTCAGGGGGTCGAGGTACTCTTTTGTTCCATGGCTCCTTTTGAGCCCCCAGAGGAGTTGTGGGGGGGCCGTGGCACAATGGTAGAACATCTACAGTGTTCCCTCTAAACTGAGCTAGTGTGAGCTAGCTCACAGTTTTTTTAGCCTCCAGCTAACACATATTTGTCTCAGCCCAGGGAGGATGACTCCAGAGCAAACTAATTTATTCAGTAGCCAAATCACTCGCTCACAACTTTCATGTCAGTAGCTCACAAAGTAGAATTTTTGCTCACAAGACTCCACCACAGCTTACCACACCACAGATGAGGCCTCGCCACCGGTGGGGGGGGGGAGGACAAATTTCGGCGGGCTGGCGAGGCCTCACCGCCGCTGCTGCTGAGGGGGAAAGGGGAAAGCTTGGCGGGCTGGCAAAGCCTTGCTGACGCTGCCGGGGGGAGGAGAAAGTTTGGGGCAGTAGGTGATGTGAAAAGACCTCTCTGCCTGACCCTGGAGAGCCGCTGCCGGTCAGAGTAGGCAATACTGACCTTCATAGATTTTGATAAACCAATTTCTCTTTAGGAAGGGGGGCGTGGCTCAGTGGCAGAGCACACGGAAGGTCCCGGGTTCGATCCTCGGTTGTCTCCAGTTAAAAAGATCAGGTGATGTGAAAGTCCTCAGCCGGAGACCCCGGAGAGCTGCTGCCAGTCGGAGTAGACAATACTGACCTTGGTGGACCAATAGCCTGCTGGTTCAATATAGGGCAGCTTCATATGATCATGTGTATGTCCAGATGTGGTTCCCTCCTGGGCCATGCGTTGCTCTCCTGCGCCATCGTTAACGCTCTCCCTCCGGCTTGCTGCCTCGGGGAAGGCTTCCTGACCCCTCTCTGAGGCCATTCTGCTGTTCCAGGGTCCAGCCTCCGATCCGGCTGCCGACAGTGGGAGGAATGAAGAGATCATCGAGCCGCTCCTCAGCAGCTGGTTCAATCCCACCCTTTGGCTGCATGATTAAGGCAGACGCGGCGGCAAAGGTAAGCCCAAGACCCGCTTCTCTTCCACCTAAACAGAGTTGGAGTCCAGCGGCACCTTTAAGACCAGCAAGTTTAATCCTGGGTATAAGCTCTCGTGTGTGCGCACACTGGGTCAGACAGCGCTCGCCTGGGCCATCCAGGTCAGGACTAGCGCAGTCGATCCTTCCTTCCTTCCTTCCTTCCTTCCTTCCTTCCTTCCTTCCTTCCTTCCTTCCTTCCTTCCTTCCTTCCTTCCTTCTCTCAGCCCCACCTACCTTACAGGGTGTCTGTTGTGGGGAGAGGAAGGGAAAGGAGATTGTAAGCCGCTCTGAGACTCCTTCGAGTAGTGAAGGGCAGGGTATAAATCCAATCTCCCCTTCCTTCCTTCCTTCCTTCCTTCCTTCCTTCC